GACAAAATCCATCATCCACTACTGATAAAAACTCTCAGGAAACTAGAACTAGGAGGAAATGCCCTCAACTTGATAAAGGGCATTTATGGAAAACTACAGATAACATCATATTTAATGGTAAAGGACTTAATGTTCTCCCCCTAAGATCAGGGATGAGGCAAGGATATACTCTCTCACTGCTTTTATTTAACATTTTCCTAGAGGTTCTAGCTATCGCCACAAGGCAAGAAAAAGAAATAAAGGGCATACAGATTGCAAATGAAGAAGTAAAACTATGTTTCTTCATTGGCAACATGATTGTCTATATTAAAAATCTGTTTGAATTGACAGAAGAAAAGCTACAAGAATAAGTGAGCTGAACAACGGTTACAGGATAAAAGATCAATATACAAAAATCGACTGTATATCTATTTACTAGCAATGAACAATAAAAACTGAAAAATTTAAACTATCATTTACAATAGTATCAAAATGAAATATGAAGCAATTGTAATTAATATGACAAAAGATGAGCATGACCTTAACTCTGACAACTAAAAAACACTGCTGAGAAATTAATGATGATCTAAATAAATGGATAATATACTATGTTCAGTGGTCAGAAGATTGAATATTGTTAAGATGTCATTTCTCCCATATTGATCTATAATTCAATGCAATCCCAATCAAAATCCTATAAGGCTTTTATTCATGAAATTGAAAAGATGATTTTAAAATTCAAATAAAATGCAAAGAACCAAGAAGAGCCAAAACACCTTTGGAAAAAAAAAACAAAAAACAAATTTGGAGGACTGACACTGTCTGACTTCAAGACTTCTTATTAAATGCAATAATTGAGACAGCATAGTATTGGTGTAAAGATGGAGAAAGACATCAACAGAACAGAGTCCAGAAACAGACCTGTATATTTATGGACAACTCATTTTCTACAATACTGCAAAGGTCTGATTTGATCACCACATATTGTACATAGGTATTGATATTCAACTCTGTACCCCACAAATATGTACAATCAATTATGTTTCAATAAAAAAAAACAATTGGGGATAAAAAAAAAGTGCAAAGGCAATCCAGTGGAGAAATAATAGCCTTTTCAACAAATGCTGCTGGAACACCTAGCTATCCATATGCAAAAAAATAAAAACAATAAAAAAAACCATCATTAATACCATACACAAAAGCAACTCAAAATAAACCATAAAGCTAAACAGAAAATCTAAAACTGTAAACTTATAGAAGAAAACAAAGGAGAATGTTTTTGTAACTTTGGGGTAAGCAAAGATTTCTTAGATATAATACCCATAGCATGATCCATAAAAGAACAAATTAACAAATTAGACTATATCAAAAGCAAAAACTTACTTACTAAGAAAATAAAAAGACAAGACACATACTAGGAGAAAATATATGTAAATAATATATTTTATAAAGGACTATTACCCCAAATATATAAGGAACTCTCAAAACTCAATAATAAGAAAACACACAACCTGTTAAAAATTTTGACAAAGTATTTAAACAAGCCCTCCACCAGTAAAGGTACATGGATGGTAAATAAGCATACCAAAAAAAATATGTTCAACATTATTAGTCATTAGGGGAAATGTAAATCAAAACCACAATGAGATAGCACTATACACTTGTTAGAATAGATAAAATTAAAGACTGACCATACTCAATGTTGGTAAGAATATGGAGCACTCAGAACTCTCATATACAGCTGGTAGAAACGTAGCACAGCATGACCACTTTTTAAAAAGTAGGGTAATTTCTCAAAAATTTAAACATTTATCTGCATATGATTCACCCATTCCCCTCTTGGTATTTACCTAAGAAAAATGAAAGCCTTAGGTCTATACAAAGACAATATGTGAATATTGATAGAAGCTTTATTTGTAATAGCCAAAAACTAGTAACAACCAGAAAGTTCATCAACAGGCTAAACAAATTATGCTAGATCTATACATGGAATAATAATTAGCAGTAAAAAGAAGGAACTATTGCTACTCACAGCAACATGATTGAATCTCAAGATAATTATATTAAGTGAAAGAAGCCATACAAAAAATAATACATGTGATGTATTATATATAGTATATGTATACTATACAAAATTCTAAAAAATGCAAACCCATCTATAGCCTGAAAGCAGAACAGTGGTTGTCTGAGGGTGATGGGGAGTGGGGGGAATAGGACAACAGTTAGGGACATGAGGGAGGGATTACAAAGGTGCACAAAAATTTTGGTGTGGGTGGCTGATGGATATGTTTATTATCTTGATTGTAGTGATGGTTTCACTTGTATACACATTGTAGGACAACAGTTAGGGACATGAGGGAGGGATTACAAAGGTGCACAAAAATTTTGGTGGGGGTGGCTGATGGATATGTTTATTATCTTGATTGTAGTGATGGTTTCACTTGTATACACATTTGTTAAAACTTATCAAATTGTACACTTAAAATATGTACAGTTTATCACATACCTTAAAAGACACTTTTAAAAAAAATGGCACTAGTGATCCAAGCAGGAGTAGTTTCTGCAGGTGACTGGATTATGGATAGGGCACAGAGTGGTAAAGACTAAGCATAGACTACTTCCCTGCTACTGGTTAAAGGTGTCCACCAAAGGTTCATGTACTGGGAACTAATCCCCACAGTAACAGTGTTAAGAGGGTAGGAAATCCTATTAAGGTAGTTGAAAGGTGGAACTTTTAAGAGGTGATTAGACTATGAGGATTGTACCCAATGGATCAATCCATTGATGGTTTAATGAGTGGTCATGGGCATGGTTCTGATGGCTTTAAAATGAGAGCAAGTGAGAAGATTAGCTCCCTCTTGCCCAGCCATTCACCATGTGACATCCTGCCTTGCTGTGGAGAGTCACAACCAAGAAGAAGGCCCTCATCTGATGTGTTCCCTGCACTCTGGACTTCCCTGCCTCTGAAATTTTCAGAAATACATTTTATTCCTTTATAAATTAACCAGTTTCAGGCACTCTGTTATAAGCAACAGAAAGGGACTAACACATTCCACAACAAGCTTAGCTTCAGGTGTGGGAGAGGAAGAGGGTGAGAGGGGGCAAGGGAATGAGGGAGCCTGACATAACCAGATGAAAGGTGAGTTATATGTGGTTTAAGATGGGAGAAGTTTGAGCATATTTACATGCAGTAGAAAAGGAGCGAGCAGGGAGAATGAAGCTGAAAATTTACAGGTCAAGAACCAGCTGATGGGATATGAGATAAAGTCCAAGAAGAAAGATAAGTCTTGAATAAGGGGGATCTTATAGGTACAAATGCAGGTATGTTTCGTGGTTAGGCTGAGAGATGCAGGAGTGGACTAAAGCGTTAATAGAATTTAAATATATTATTCTCTCTCTTCCTTTTCTAAGATGGTTAAGATAATGAGAGGAGTAGGATACTTTAGAAGAACTGTGGAGCTTAGAAAAAGTCATTGGCTACATCAATTAAAATGCTGGCTGAAAATAAATATCCAATCTGGGGACACTCTTCTGTAACAAGATGGCAGACAATAAAACGGTTTTAAGCAAATAAAATAGCTATCGTTTCCACATGTTCACAGGAGATTACGACGCAGCATTCCTTCTCCACTTTCTCTCTTTACCCCTAACCAAAGTTCACTTATGTGCTAATCTTACTGCTGATCCTCATCCCCTTTGTTAACAATGCACAGATTTTTAACAAACTCTTTAACTTGGTTGGGAAATATTTCTAACATCCACATGAGAACAGAGAATTATTTAATAAGCAGCAGTGTTCTACCCTTCAGTTTTAGCAAATCTTAACATGATACCGCATTTACCTCAGTTAATGAAATCTTTGAACCAAATATAGGCTTACGAGTCAAGAAAGACTTCATCACCAGCAAATATCAACATGTTTACTTACTTTTTACACTTCATATATTTCATGAATAATGCCCAGAGCACCTCTGAGAATCTCAGGTATTACTGTGGGTAGGCAAAAATCAAATATGGTCAGAAATGGCCACTGGCAAGCTAATTAGGTAGTTCCCCTGAAGTGAACTGTTAATATATTAAAGCAATGTAAATTAGACGATACCCACAGGTCCAGGTTTGGGAAAAATGCTCTGGCAAAGTATGAATTTTTAATTAAAATGATAATTATGACTCACAGCACTGATACTATTTTTCTTTAGTGTTCTAATGCTCATCGACACTTTGGCATTGGTAAATATGGGGAATATCGATAAAAAGGTTTTGTCCCATATGATGTAAAATTTCTGAAGCTGAAAGCATACCATTAGTTTCTAAAGACAAGGCCTTTATTCTTTAGTCACCCATTAAATCTAAAAAACTGTAATTTGGATAGTACCTGCCAAAACAGACTGTGTGCATCACCTCTCAGAAGTTCAACCGTATCCCCTGGCTGGATGTGTAACGGCGGTCCTTCGTGAAGAGCTGGGGGTGGTATTCCAGTATAGTTCTTAATGACCTGCATCTTTGGTAAACCTGAAATTAAGCAACACAAGATTTAGAATTGAGAAAATAATAACGTGTACTAAATGTACTTTTCAAAAAAAGAGCCATTATTAATAGTACAAAGTTTTAATACCACCAAGTCCAAGTCAACATTTGAGGAATGTTTTTCAGCTTTCTCATTATTTGAGATGGTAATGAAATAAGACACATATTTATCCCCTAATCCCTTACATACTTTTCCTCTTCCTTACCATCAATCTCTTTTTAGTTGAAAAAATATTTCTCTTTCAGCCGATGCCTGCCTCATAAAAAAACACATCACGTACGGTTTAATGGAAAAGAATCAATTTTTTCATCAACTCTATCCTTCCTGCCTATTACTTTCCTCTTGGGCACTGGTTGATTTCATCACTACGGAGGCTCACCCTTTCTGTGTACATATCACATAGCCCAGTATAAGGCTCATATCTTAAGGTTATCTTTGTAATTCAAAAGCAAAAAGGTGATGGATGTGCTGCTGCAATACTTAAGACATTTATATGAAGAAATTCTTCAGGCTCAAATTTAGGCTTGCAAAACAGACCCAATAAAGGGAACATGTCTAAGCCAATAGCATCAACAATACTTGAAATAACAGATCTATCCCTTTTCTTTGTATTTCTCTCCATGTGCAATGAAGGCCTTAGTTCAATATTTCATTTTTGAGAACAGCAGCTTCAACTGCACATGGGCCCAACTGCATGAATATTGGTCACAAATGGACAACTCCACCATCACCTTTTCATTTAGAGGTGAAACTGCTCCCTTCTAAGAGAGAGATCACTTATAAACATAATATTCAGTGCACATTCAGGGATTAAGCTATTCCTTATTATACTTCAAGACTTTTTATTCCAATGACTGACCATGGTGAAGCTGTAATTGGCTAAAAATGCTGCACTAAATATATAAAGGAGGATGAATGACTGTCATTTGGTTCTTGTTGTCCAGGTTACCTAGAAAAGACCTCAGTGGCTACATGAAATGCTCCAGCAAACAATTTAATCCTAGTCAACAACCACCCCAGAGGAGAGGAACAAGTATTGCTATAAACGAAACAGAGCTGGAAAGTTTCAGTCAACACTTTACCAGCCCAGGCAATCAGAAGGCAGAGGGCTGGAAAACCTGACACCCTTCACCCCAATTTAGTTGCTGTGACTGCTGAGGCATGTTACGAGTTGCTACATCTTCTCTTTGCTTCAGTTCTTGTGCCACAGAACCCTGGAGGGATGACTTTAATCCCACATCTTCCATGGAGCACTTTCCTACCAGATGCTAGAAGGTGGTGCCCTAAAACAAAGAGCAGACTTTATTGTCTCTCCCAAAACCAACACTCGGACACAAGAACTCTTCCCCCTGAAGGGTTTATCAGACTTGTTCTAACGCACTGTAAATGCCTTAAGTAAAGAGAGCTTATTTTTATGCGTTCCATTAAGTTGCTATTGTTAATTTAAAACGAAGCCTAAATATCCCATACACACAACTGATTCAGAAGTTCCGTACGTGGAAGAGGATGCAGTACAATGTAGAATTTTTAAAATGGAGTCTGGTTTGCATGGCAGTTAGTCCATGTCTGGGGATCAGAGTTGCAGTTAGTCTTCATCTTATTGAATATTTCTAGGGCAAAGAAAGCATCTCATTTGGTAGATCCCCTAGGTAATTTTGTTTTTATGCCAGTTTTAAAATAGAGGCTGAAGGCAAGAAAGAAGAGTTCTTAAACCCAAAATAGCTGATGTGGCCTCAAATATTAGGGCCAGTCAAAAGTTCTGGCCTTCGCTGCAGTTTTCTCTGATGCCAAGAGCCACAGGGATAAAAAGGAGCAGTGTCACATGACAAACGATGGAAACAGCAGTTCTATTATTGTCAACATGCCCAAGGTAGTCGTTCTCAAGAAGAAATAATTGAAAAGTCATTAGGAAAAAAATTAACTTTGTTGATGTTTCACCAACGAAATATATACAAGGGATTAAAATATAGAAATGCCCAGGTTACATAGGAGGCTGTAAGAAGTCAGGCATGGAGCAATGCTGCCTCATATATCTTTTTAGATAGACTGGAATGCCCATAACACGTTTCACCAACGAAATATATACAAGGGATTAAAATATAGAAATGCCCAGGCTACATAGGAGGCTGTAAGAGGTCAGGCATGGAGCAATGCTGCCTCATATATCTTTTTAGATAGACTGGAATGCCCATAACACATGGCCTAATAAAAATCATAATATTTAAAACTGAAAAGGATACATACATTAATATACTCTGGTCAAGAAATAAGACCTAGCTACGCTGCAAAGTAGGAATGATGGACTTTGCTTTTACTAGTCTCCCTTACTTGTAAGTTTTTCATTTATTCTGTCTTTTCTGCTATTACTTTCTCCTTGGTTATGAGCTTCATTTGGGAAGTTGATCTAGTAGCACACTAGCAAATGTGTGCTGCTGAACTCACTCCTTAAACAAAAACATGTAACCCTTGCCAAGAATTACGGTAGAGCCCAGGTAAAAGCCAAAAGGACATTGTTACTAGCCTCGATTCAGCCATAAATGACTTGCAAAGTTCAGTGTCTATTTAACTCATATGCTTTTTTTTGTGGGATGAGTTATGAGTTTATGATATAATGGAATTTATATTTTTTGATCATTTGTAGGGTAATCTTCGGCTATTTCTTTCTTTTTTTTTTTTTTTTNTGGAATGCCCATAACACATGGCCTAATAAAAATCATAATATTTAAAACTGAAAAGGATACATACATTAATATACTCTGGTCAAGAAATAAGACCTAGCTACGCTGCAAAGTAGGAATGATGGACTTTGCTTTTACTAGTCTCCCTTACTTGTAAGTTTTTCATTTATTCTGTCTTTTCTGCTATTACTTTCTCCTTGGTTATGAGCTTCATTTGGGAAGTTGATCTAGTAGCACACTAGCAAATGTGTGCTGCTGAACTCACTCCTTAAACAAAAACATGTAACCCTTGCCAAGAATTACAGTAGAGCCCAGGTAAAAGCCAAAAGGACATTGTTACTAGCCTCGATTCAGCCATAAATGACTTGCAAAGTTCAGTGTCTATTTAACTCATATACTTTTTTTTGTGGGATGAGTTATGAGTTTATGATATAATGGAATTTATATTTTTTGATCATTTGTAGGGTAATCTTCGGCTATTTCTTTCTTTTTTTTTTTTTTTCCTTTTTGTCTTTTTTCGTGTCCGGCAATGGATCGCAACCCTCAGTGTCGCGCCCGTACCGGACCGGGACCGGCAACGGGATCACAGCCCTCAATGTTGCACCCACACCTCGCTCAGCCAGTGAGCGGGAACCAGTCTGTATGTGGGATTCGAACCCTCGGCGGGAGCGCCACCGCACTCCCAAGCGGCGCACTGTAGCGGTGCGCCACCGGGCCGGCCCTGGCTATTTATTTCTGATTGGCCAGCACTTTCCATTTCAGCATGAGCTCTTGTAAGAGCTACAGAGAGCAAAGGATAAAAGGAATGAAGCAAGGGCACAGAGGCCATGATAATTTCTGACACCCTGCCCCTTGCTTCTGATGCTAGCATACAGTAGGTGTTCTACTCGATACCCTGGGATGAATGGTGGCTTTCCAAAAGGCCCTTTTATATTCCTTCCTTTTACCTAAAAGGCACAGTAATATTTCTGAGAGGGTGAACATCATCACATTAACTGATAGATTAAAAATGCCATTAAAATAAGAAAAGGAAGAATGTGTTAAACTTCACATCAGCACTCCACCACCAATGTAATTCTCAACACAATCTACTGCCACAGCAGGCATCACACTTCATGAATGAGATCAAGAACAGAGAATAAATTAGATTTATGGATGTTCATATTTTGAATAGCCATTTAGTGTTTAGTGTAGCTTTTCCTTCCCCTTATAAAAATATGCCTGACAGGTTTTAACCTCTGTTTAAAAATGTCCAGGACAGAACATTCACTACATGTCCCCATGACAACTCAGTCATTGTTGCATACAGTTTATTAACAAGGTCTTCTTGAAACTTACTCAAATATCTCTCTCTGTGTAACTTCTCTCCACTGACCTGCCTCCTTCCATCTGGAATTATGCTGAAGAAGGCAAATCTCCTTTTTATAAATTAGCCTTTCAAAATTTATTCAGGCTTAAAATCCCTAGTTCCTTAAAAAATAATAAAAATAAAAAAACATTCTTATTTTCCCTTGCCTATCCATACTTCAAGGGATTCTGAGATGCAAACAGCATAAACTACAAAAGCAGAACTATAGTTATCCTCATTGATACTGGCTAATCAGAAATAAATAGCCAAAAGTTATCCTAAAAAACATGACCGAAAATATACATTATATACATTTCATTATATTGCAAACTCACAACTCATCCCAGAAAGCTGTTTCTTTCTTCCTGGCAAAACACAGACCCAACAGTTGTTTTGTTTCTTTCTGCTCCAAAACTGCATTTACAATGAATATGCTGGTACAGTTATAGTGTTGCTCATCAAAATCTGAATATTTATATTGTAACTACCTTCAAGTATTAAATGCAAAATAATCATCTGTAATTTCAACATATATTATTTGAGCAATCTTAGAAGTTCCCAAAACTTTATATAATTATTTTTATCAAAGGGAAAATGATTAAATTAGCTAAACCAAATTTAGACCTCCTACCAAATGTTTAGTTATTTTAGCTTGTTTTATCTCTACAACAAATGCTTTGTTGTATGTAATATACTTCATACATAAATTGTAGACAATTTTGCCTTTTAACTTCTGTTCAGATTAGTGATTATGCTTGGTCTTAAATCAGACAAGGTCTCCAAGTCATCCTATGCATGAGGAATTGACACATAGAAGAATTAGCAATATTAAAATGATGATTATACTTTAGTAAACAGTCATGAGGTTCTGGCTAAATAAAACTGAAGCCACATGGAAACATGTGGAATGCTAGAGTTTCCCAAAGCAAAGCAGAAATGTTTTTAAAAAGGG